TATCGAATAACCTTTTACTAAAGCAGTTTTTGAAGATAGGCACTGAGCAAGTTTTATCATTAGTTTACCTAGACAGAGCGCTGGATGCACGGATGGATGCATTAAAGATGGTCTAGATAAAGATTTGTTTTTGCTGTATGACCGAGAGGATTTTATGGATGAATGTTTCGATATGGATGTGTAAAGGACGACAGATTTGCTTTCATTTAATTTGCTTTCGCGAAAGATTTGTTGCTGCTGTTTTGTAAATGAATCAAGTTAATATGCGGATGGATGGATAGACATTTGAATGAACTGCGCCACAGATGGAAGGAAGTGCTAACTATAAAAGTTCTGCAAGATAGAAGTTTATAAGTAATGGTTGATGGATGATATTTAGATAGATGGATGGTTGAATAATGCATGGAAAATGAAGAACATGGATTGAGAAACGTTAAGATTAAGATTAAGATTGATGAGGATGATGTTGTTAACGTAAAAATGTTGCTGAGATTGTGTGTGAATCCGTTAGAAATAGTAGATATTGAAAGAAAAGTGAGTAGTTCAAATGTGCAGAAAAGGAAATGATTTGTTTCGTAATTGGAATAGAAAAAGAGGTTATTGAAATGGTAAAATAGCTGTTGAAATAAAACTTATGTATGAAATTGATTGTTTAGATTGGAATATTCATGTTTACGTGAATGATACTGATAACAATTGCAATTAGAATGATGTCGGATATAACACGTAGATATAGGACGTTATCGGTGAGGTAGAAGAATGGATGGAGAGAAATATGTTTTATTTCAGACGAAAAAAAACTTGAAAATAAGTCCCTTCATTTTGCGCTACTTGTAAAGCTATGTCATGAAGGATGATGCATCGAGGAATGTACAACCGCGCATTCCTCAAAGCATCATCCCTCCACTGACTGCTGTTCGATGTACTGGTTGTATTATAAACAACGCGATCTGATAATATTCGGTAAGTTTAACATGGTTATAATGTACGATGAAATCAGAACAATTCATAAGGTTTACTATACAGATAATAGCTAGTGTACGATTGATAGATGTTTTCAAACGAGTTGTATTTTGAAATGTTCATTTATGAAGGAAGTATTGTATTTGTTTGAAGTAGTAATGAACTGAAAAGAAATACGACACGAGTGGTGATCGACAAGGACAGAACAGCATCTGAATGGCTTCGTTGGTTGCTGTAGAGAAGGTGTTAGGTGGTAGATGTTCATGACGAAGAAGAAATCTTTGAGTGTGTGTGAATTTATTGAGATAACTTAATGAGTATACTACATGAACGCATGGATGAGTGAGTAGCTTAAGCATGAATGAATTGAATGGATCTTAAGTGAAATGGGTGTTAATAATTTTGTTACAGATGTTTGTATGTCGAATTCAGCTTGTATTATTAATAGTTGTAGAATTTAAAAACTCTGGCCATAAGAAAAATGGTCATAATTCGAATGGTCGCAAAAGTTGTACAATGTATTGTTTAATTCACCATACTGGAACGTGGGCGACTAGATTCAATAACAAGCAGAAAACTGGACAGTTGAATTAAGCAGTAATACCAGCAGCAAAAAACAGACGTAATCTGAATCTGAAAACGTCTTCTGTGTATCTGTTCATATGAATTCATTTAGCGATAAGCGCACATCACAGATATCGCTAAGGGGAAAGGAGGAACGACTATCGGCCATTCTCCCCTTTAAAACAATATAGATAAATACGTATGTAGGATCAGCTGAAGTTGTAAGAAATCTTTGTTTATTTTGAACTTGTTTATTTGTAAAACGTGAATAAGGATTGTATAAGCAAGTAAGTATGTGTTTAGTATAGTTTACATATTCAAAATATATTATGAACTTACTTTTTTAAGTAACGATTTTATAACCTCTATTTTGACATAGGTATGTTCATTTCGGATCGATAGATGATACTATTATATAATCTTTTTTATTGAGTTTATCTTCTACTCGTACACCATTAAGCAAATATTCAGCAGTGTGGAACATGTGCTTTGCAGATGTTCATTATTTTAGATTCGGTTCCATTTATATTTTGGTCATTTCAGTTTCATCTAGTATCATTTTGATTACTGTTATTATCATTATTAGGATTAGCTTAGAGGGCAACTTATGAAGACAAGATCGACTATCAGGCTGTGAAAGGATATGATTAATAATATAAGTATGAGTGTAGACGAATATGAAAGTATTTGATGTATTGCATTATTTAAAGTAGATTGCTGTTGTATTGTTGATAGGACGTTGTAAATCTGTTTGTAAGTACGTATGTATTTATTTGTTTATGTACATAGCAATGTAAATGTATGTTTGGTGCATTAGTAATATTGGTTACAATTATTATTGATTGATTAGAGGAACAGTTACATAGTTAGTCAGTTACTTAGGTAGACTGTTGTATTACACTCTAGTAGTATTGTTTTATGGATAGGAATTAGTTGATGTTCGTTGGTTTAATTATTTGTTCGTTTGTTTATTTGCAGTTGTGAGATTTATTGAGTTTTATCAGTTTATTCGACACTTGAAATAACTTGCTGCTTAAATAAGAGAACATCAGAAAATAAATTCGAATAAATGATTGATTGGATTCGCACCGTAGGACAGAACAGGCATTTTTTAAACTAATACTACTATTGTTACTGTTGCTGTCATTATTGTTATTGTTATTATTATTATTATTATTATTATTATTGTTATTGTTATTATTATTGTTATTACTATCAATAATATTAATAATGATAATAATAATATTATTATCACCATTGTTATTATTATTAATAATATTATGAATACCACTACTATTTATTATGCCTTCGAGGTGAATCTTATGATTTGTTTAGAAATAGGTCTTTGATTGAAAAGATAATATATAAGAATAATAGAAATATGATAAGATTTGTTGAAGTGTTGTGATGTGTGGTTAAATGTATGGTGTGAATAATGCTTGAGTCAACATTACGATGACACTTTTAATTAATTAATTAATTCCTTAGCAATCAGTCCAATAATTAACTTAAGCAAAAGGCGGCCGCCATCTGAAATGTTTCTGATAAGTGTATTTGATCAGTTGAGGTAGAATTACAAGTATAGATGTTGTTATAAGCATCATGGATGTGGTGAGTGCTTGCCCTTTGCATATTACAGTTATTAGTGTGGTTGTTTTTATGACGTCTAATATTGCTGTGATCACTTAGAGCAGCTAGTATTGTGTCTTTTCATCTGTGGCATGCACTTTTTTAAATCTGTTCATCGCGTTTATTTTTGTCATATGAACGCTTTAAGCCCCCGCAAACTACTGCGATTGGTTTGAGTTGATTGTTGCTATAGACAAGGAT